CTGTTCGGGCTGTTCGAAGATTTTACCATTACCGGGGAAAAGCTCTTCCGATCCATTTTTATTTCGCCGTGTACTTGAAATTTTCGCTCCTAACGTATTCGACGAATTCGACGTGTAATCGAATCTCCGAGTCGAATTTGAACGTTTTCGTGTTTGCAAAGATTCTTGAACCGGATTCCGCAATTTCAGTTTTATCGTTTATTTCGATTTTCCAAATCTGATCGAAAGATCAGAAGTTTAAAAAGCGTGGAAGAGGAAGGTTTCGCTCGCTTGTTTTTCTTTCGAAGCACCGATGACTCCGCCGGTTGGACAAGCAACGTCGCTTTTTTTCGGCGTCGCGGCGCGTCACGAGCGTCGACCGCTGACATATTTGGAGCAACGACTCGGTCCAATTGTCCGCGAAGCCATCGTCGTTGCAGCGCTGGCTATTTTTCGCCGTTGATTTTTTCCCGTGCTCCGGTCACTTGCTTTCTCCCCGTTTCTTGCTTCTCCGTCGCCTGCTATCGATCTAACGCGTTCCGTATCGCCAGATCGAAACAATTATTCGAAAAATGAATTCCGCTTGCTGGTAGAAGATGGGACACGGACAGAGCCGCTTTGTCGCGTATATCGTTCTTCCAGATCGAAGAGATGGCACGGTTTCTCTTATTGGATCGGATCAAACGCAAACTGCAGGACGACCGAGTACGTTCGAGCGAATAATAGATAGTTGCATAGTTACAGGTTCGATATCGTTGGGTGCAATTTGCACTTGGCGTAGGAGACGAAACCACGGAACGAATTCATGAAATATTCAAGACGGTACGTTATTCTTTATCCGTATCGTACGTAGAGAGACAAAAGCAAAGTGGAAAGCGGCGAAGAGGGTAAAGGAGCGCGGAGATTCGTCGTGGAGCACGGCCACGAAGACCTGTTGACATCCCACGCTGATATCAACCGCGGTAGAATCGTCGTAGGAAGAGCAGGATCAACGATCAAATTACCGAGCGCGCACGGTGGTTGAATTTAATCGTCGCCTTCGCCTTCGATCTACTCGGTCCACGGGTTAAATTCATTCCGTAGCTCTTATCTTCGTCCGTCGAATTGAAAATTGTGGGTATACGATGGAAAGTTCGCCGTAGGCGCCAACTCCTGAACGATCGTCTTCGACGGACGACCACGATCGGCGGGTGCTTGAATTTTACCAAACGAACGTTAAATCGAGCAATCGGATCGCTCGAGTCGGACGAAATGCGTAGCAAAAGGAAAATACGGATTCGCTTGGGAAATCGCTTCACGCCGTTTACAGTTTTTTTTTCCGCGTACAAAGTTTCGTCCCTGTAATCGGAGAATCGATTACAAGGCTTCTTGCTCCCCAAGCTGCTGTGCAATATCGTTTTACGAGCGCGACGTACGTTGGATGGACTATCGTCCGGCACGCGAGCAACCATGTTAAATCGTGTTTCCGGATTGCGTCGATTCCCTGGATACACGTGTCTTTTATCAAGGAATCGATAAGTTTTGTAGCCGTGTGCCGCTTACTTTCTGTTTGCGAAACCGTTGCCAAGCAACGCGCCCTTAATTAAATAACCAAAGACCAACGACAAGGTGTCGAGCGAACGTTCGATTGGAAATTCGACATCCATTCGAGAAGCAGGAACGGCAAAAGTTACGGCTTTCTCGTTAACCGAACTCTAACCAGAGGGAAAACTTTACGACGCTGTCGATGGAACGTCGATCAACGGTGGCGAATTTCGTGTTCGCGTTGACACTGAAAATTCGTCGGTTCCCAGGGCTGTGGCTATCTAAATTTTTGGACACGTCAGAGGATAGGTCGACCCGGTTTCCACGGTAATTGGCTCGCGCTTCCCACCCGACGGACAACGGTTTGTCTCCGGACCCGTGCGAATTCCGTAGCTGGGCGGCCGTCCCGTTGCGTGGTTTCGTCGAACGCCACTGCCGTGCTTTCGCAAGCTGCCACGATATCCTCGCGTTACGTTCGGATAACGGAATTCGTTGGATAATCGACTCGATAGCGAGAAAGAACGATCGTCGGTTTGTCCGATCTTTCCGGTTATCCTTCGATTTGTGGCGGCACTCGACGAGAAATACGGCCACTCGACGCTAACTTCCACCGGTAGCGCAGTGGTTAGCGCCTTAGATTGCGAACGTTCGGGACCCGGGTTCGAATCCCGGCGCTCATAGTCCAATTTTTCTTCCACGCATCTAAATTAGAAGAAAAATAGCAGTACCCCGGCAGCTACATCTACAGCCAGCATCATCTACAAGTATCACGGACAACAACTACACTTCAGATTCTTGAATTTATCGTGTAAAACGAGAAAAGCCTGCGTTAGAGACGATATTCTGTACGTTATGTCGGATAGCTACTCGAGCTTCTGTTAGGACGTAGCTGTAGCCGGAAGAAACCGCGAAACAACACGTTCTTTCATCAAAAGCATCGCTAAGGGACCTTTCGCCAGAATCCGAGAAGAAAAGTCTATTCTGCTTCGCGTTCGTTCGATCTCCGGGAAAAGGAAAAGATAGGTTTTAGGGCCGAACAACAGCGCGTAATCGCAACGACTACTCGTTGTTCGTGGGATTACAGAGCGCAGTTGCAGATCCAGCGGATAAATGCTAAATTTACGCGAAATTTATTCCTAGATGACGTCGATTTTCGCGCGTGAAATTACGCTCGTCGCGAGATACGATCCGCGTTTAACTCGACGACTGCGGTATCGCGAAAGTTTACGGCAGACTGTGTGCACCAGAGGCGGATGAAAAGCATGACGGAATTAGGGTCGGCTGGTATCGCGATACGGAGCGTGGCTCGGCCAGGGTTACGAAGCTTCTTCTTTCTCGTTCTCGTCGTCGAGAAAGGTGAGAGGAGATCGGTCTTGTTATATCGATATTCAGGGACTCGTGAATGCTTTTGCCGGTAGCCTACGTGACCGTAATTCCTCGACTGGATGCCTCGTCACGTTCGTAGTTCGTGGGAAATCCTTTTTTTTTCCGCCGGTCGGGATACGTTCCGGAAATAGTGGCTCCTTTGATCGAGCTAAAGACGAAAGCGACGTTGCGCGGGGGCGGAAATTAAATTCCGCGTTTCGCGTGGTAGAGTGCGACCAAATCGCGTTCACCTTGGTGAAAACAGGGGAGGACCGAGGACTCGAATTTCCTCGGCGATTCGCTGGCCCAGCTTCTCCGACTACTACTACTCGTCGGCTTATCTGCGATTCTTACGCTCCGTACGATCGTTAAACGTAATTAACCTTGCACACTGTGACCGTGAAATTGTACGCTAGCGGGCGATCACGGTTCGATTATTTTGAAAACGTTGCTTCGATAATTAGCTGCGGTCTCTCGTATTTCGTCGATCGAGTTTGAAAATTTTGGTCGTGCGCCGTGTCGGCGAGTCGGACACGTTGCGCGATCAGACCGTCGCGAAAATAACAAAGAAAACGACCACGCGCTTCATTCGTTATCGGTTATCAGCAGGCCGCGTCGTCGCTCGCGTCCTGTCCCTATAACCCACTATCCGACATTTAATCGCGACAGGATGCGCGTTTCATCGAAACTTTCGAAAATTACGCGTGACGCGCTCGGTTCGTCTCGTCTACGCGCCTTCCTTCCGGTCAACGGAAGTTCGTTTAAAGAAGAAATTAAGCGTGACGAAGCTAAGACATTTTTACTCGATCATCGATCTTCCGCTTCCTTTGCCAAGTACTATTTATTCTTTGAGTCTGCAGTAGCTGCTACGTGTCGCGAAAGAGTAAAGTATTCATCGTGATTAATTGCCAGACATTTTTGATAAAATCTGCTGGCGAATAACTAAAACTGCCGATTCCACTGAAACGGCAATCCTATCGCAGACAGCAATAACAGGGTGACTTTTCCAGCGACCGATACGCGCATCCGGATAACAGTGGACTAAGGCAAACCCGCTAAGCCGCGCGATCTCGTTAACGAGTCAAATCCGCGCGACAAACGTACACACGGTCGACCGATGCGTTTACAGGCGACGATGTCGGTCATCCGTTGGTCGATTCTGCGAAAACTTCAAGTACGATTCGGTATTTCCATCGTTCAACAGGATGACGACCGCGCATCTTGGAGATCGCCTTTGTCATTGCGTTCTCCTCGACGGCGTTTCGTTCCTCGGAAGTTTTTCCGCTCCCCGTGCAAGGTCGATACGACGGAGTGGGCCTGGACGAGCGAGGAGGGTGCGTGTGGCGTGGATGGCGTTTACGAGCCGGAGTGTGCTCGAAAGGAGCGCCAGGCAAATGGGAAAATCCACGAAAACCCCGTTGCATTTACTCGTCATTGGAACAGCGTGTCGTAAAATCGTTGTTATCCGAGAATTTGCATTTCGTAGCAGGCCGAGCAACTTTCTTCTTCTTTCTGCGTATTTTGCATAGGTAATGCAATTGATCGTGAAACGTAACAACTCGCGCACGGTATATCTTTATCTATCTAGTTCGATTGCAACGACTCGACCGAAGGCCATCGAGAGACAGAATTCTCTGTCCTCGAATGAAAATAGAATAGGAGGGCTGATTTATCACACGCTACTCGCCAAACACGTACGAGCCGCTTTCTAGCTTTGGCTCTACGCGTACTTACATTGCGACTTATATGGAATTCGTCGCGCGAGACATAAACAACGACGGTGCACAATTCAGCCCTTTGTACGATTCGATACGTGACGATGACGCGACCGCCGAGCGGATGTTCCCTTACCGGAAGCAAAGTGGTCTGAATATTCATTTAAACGACCGGTCGGTAGATGCCGGTGAGAACTTGCCAGATCAGCGGTGTCCTGCGCGAGACCGTGAATCATCGTTGACCGTGAATTTCGTTCAATCCCTTTGTTCCAACAGCGACCACTTGCAAACTGGTCACCGAAATTCGTTCGCGTTTCGATGCGTCGCTCGTAACCGCGTAGCAAAATGAAAATGCAATTAAGCGTCACGTCCGCCCTGTCTCTGCACGCATATTCATGTGTTTCTTTTTCGTTTCAGGGAGGAAGTGCAGGAGCATACCGTCAGATGGGACGCTAAATTCGAGTTTTTATGCAAAATGAGTGCCAATGCGTCCACCGGTGTTCTCGATCCGTGTATTTTAAGGATATCCGTGAGAAAGGTGACTCGTTTGAATTTGCCCCTGAATGGGCCCCGAGCGTTTCCCTTTTCTACCTGTTCTAACGATAGATTATTTTCGTAGGAACTGAAGGGAGGCAGGTCCTTCCAGAAGCTTGGTTTCACCGACCTGAACCTCGCCGAATTCGCAGGAGCTGGACTCTGCAGAACGAGGTATCTTCTGGAAGGCTACGACTCGAGACACAGACAGGACAATTCCATGTTACGCGTTGCCATCAAGATGAACATGCTGTCCGGAGATATTCTGTTCAAAGTGTAAGTTGCAATCGACGTGTTTCGTCGTCGTTTTGCAATCTAACTTAACGATTAAACTCGACGATTATACCCGTGGTTAGACGGAATGACGAAAGCTGAATCGCATTTTCTAGGCCGTCTCCGTCGTTGAAGCAAACGCAGCTCGCAGTACCTGGCGTACCAGGTGTTTCCGGTGTGACGACGGACGAAACTGCATCCGAGAGGTGTACCAATCGAGAAGATTACGTGTCCACTGGTTCGTTAGCTGGAAGTATAGCTAGTGCTAGCAGCGGTTTTGGTAGTCTTCCCAAAAAGAGGCCTGCCCTCTTTTCCTCGGGTAACGAACGAATCTTGTTTCACCATCTTTTCATGTTCTTTCGCCAAATCGGACGCGAGTAAGATAAGCGAAGAACGACGATTCGCGGACAAACGATAGTGAATCGAAACTCGGTGACAGAACATGACAGGAACGGGGATGGTAATGGGTGGTGCGGTTTCACGAATGGTTAACGCAACGTTGGTCTTTCAGAGCTTCTCAGCGGGGCGGAGTCCTACGATCCAATGACCCTGAGCGAGATCGTACCGTCGGCTCTTCCGGTGGAGACTCTAACCGAAGCGCACACAGAGTCAGGCCATTCTCGCAATAGCAGCAACACCAGCCAACTGAGCAAAGGCTCCGGCTATGGATCTTTAAATTCACACAGTCAACACAGTAGGCAGAGCAGTAGTGGTGACAGTGGCCACATTAGGTAAGGCCACGCGGTCGCCCCAGGACGACGAACGAGACGGACGAATACGCAAACGATAGAAAACTCTTGTTTAGGGTAAACGAGACGGAGATTCGAATTAGATTCGGGAATTTCGAGCGAAGAAAGAGAAATTAAGCCCCGATCGATGTCCAGAGTTCTCTTCTCGAATCTTTCTGTAACGAGTACTCGTCGAATACTTTTCTACTACTCGGTAATCGCTCGATACGTATCCTACCATCTTCGAACGTGTCCTCGCTCCGTCGATCTCTTTCAAACGAATCGTTTTTTTCTGTTTTTTTTTCTTTTTCTTTCGTTAATTTGAAAATCGTTTTGCCCCGACGTTCGATAGACATTGTCGCGATCAGCGTGTTTCTAACTGTCTTTTTGGTTTTACTTGGACGATAAGTGCGCATGGTATTTTGTATGGGATCATCGAGTAGGAGGAACCTCTTAACGGAAATACAGTCGTTCGTACGAGTCACGGAATACCTCCCTCGAATAAGAACGCAACCAAGAACATCACTCTGTAACATTCACTAACAATTTCTTCAATCGCGCGCCACTAAATACCATGCAGTCGCGCTTGCGATTTTGCTTTCGAACTCTACGCTTACGTCTATATTTTAATCGAATCTTTCGACAGAATCTTTTCAAATTTCATTATCGGTAACTTTTTAGAAATTTCTCTTCGGAGAAGTTTCGGTGCTTGCCTCTTAACAAAAGAAACATCAACGCGTACACCATCGAATTCTCTCTACTCTATCGAACTTACCATTCGGACTCTTATCATCTTAACGCGTGTTCGTTGAACGGTTGTTAACAAGAAGGCATCGATAACGATTTACGAGGGAAACGTTAGATCTGTTTCTTTTTTTTATTTTGTTTCTTTCTAGGGAAACAAATTAGTGTTTCTCACGTTAAGTTATTAAATTTTTAGGTTCGTGTTCTTTTTTTTTTTTTGTTTCTTTTTTTTTTTTTTTTTTTTTGTTACTTTCTTGAGACTCTGGATTTTCTCTATTCCCAGATATATATACATACATATATTTTTATTTTTATTTTTTTTTTCTTTACGTCTCCCACGTCTTCCCATTTTCGTCTCTACTTCGTACTGTATATGAGTTTATTATTATTTTTGCATGCTTGAATATTTGTGTTGTGATCTTTATAGGTCACCCTCCTGGCCGGTATGGGCTCCACGTATCCCCAATGTCTCCCAAAAGTCCTCGAGCCAGCAGCCTGCCAGACCCGAGACCTCTCTCGACTCCGAATCCCCATCCTCGTCTTCCTCGACGCTGCTGGACCCACGAAATAGGTTCTGGTCTACGTCCAGCCCTCTTTCGTCGCGCGAGGGAAAATC